GAGAGAGAGAGAGAGAGAGAGAGAGAGAGAGAGAGAGAGAGAGAGAGAGAGAGAGAGAGAGAGAGAGAGAGAGAGAGAGATGTGAATAGTCTCTTTTTCGTTCAAATTGTTAGTGATACTTGATGATAAGCTGGTGATAAAGAGATCAGAGGCTCGAGCCCGGCGGTTTTGACAAGATAAAAGAAGATAGCAAAGGTCAACAGGCCGATAGACAGGCCGACAGAGGAGGGTGCCTGGGTGCCATTCCAGTCCTCGGGAATGACGAATGGCCGATCTCGCTGAGGACTAACGAGGGGATACCCACACTAGGACTTTTCAAGTTCCCTCTGTCGGTAATGGCGGTCAGGTTCGTCCAGGGGTGGTTGGAAAAGCAGTCATATACATCCAGGAAAGTTCCTGTGTGGGTATGGCTGAGTATGATGAGAAACGCGCCCAGGGCGGCAAGGCTAATACAGCGAGTGCATGTATCTGTATCTTGTGGCAAAACATTGACCAGATATGCTCGCCATTTTTATTTTAAACAAAGTCGGTTTGGTTACTACTACCACTGCCGTCTTCCACCAGCGCACAGCCATTTTCGCTGTGTCGACCTACCCTCTTCCCCCGAACACAAAGCACCATCATTTTGACTGCATCGGGACGGAAAGATGGTCTGTATCGCTGTGTCTACCTACCCTCTTCCCCCGAACACAACGCACCATCATTTTGACTGCATCGGGACGGAAAGATGGTCTGTATACATTCAGCTATAATGACCACGCGTTCTATTCGGGGAAGTGAAACGAAGGCCCAAAGGCGGGAGCGACGCCCTCGCGACAGAATCGCGAATTGCGGGAAAACTGACGAGGGCCCGCCATCACCACCCACTCTCCCACTCTCCCATTCTCCCACCCACCCACCCACCCACCCACCCAGCCGTGCCCAGTCAACTCCCAACTCCTGCTGCTGGTGTGGCGCAAGGCCGCGGCGCTGCGCAGAGACGGCGGGCAGCGGGCGGAAAGCGGACATGCCAGCACTCACCATTGCTCCCGACTCCAGCCGCTCTGTGTGGCACAAGGCGGTGGTCGGAAGGGACATCGCCATAGCGGGCGGTATAGGCGCAAGGCGGTGAACAATTCGAATGCCTCTCAGGGAACCAGCACTGGTTCTTAGGGTGACACGTGAGTGAGTTAGTGTTTTCACATCAGCGGTGATTGTCTCCTGTCTCTATCCGCCGCGCTACATTTTTGGTCAGAGAGAGGGGATTGGAGGGCGGGAGTTAAAGCCTTTAGGCTCCTCATCAGAAGACGATATAGATAGATAGATAGATAGATAGAGATAGGTGTGTGTGTGTGTGCGAGAGAGAGAGAGAGAGAGAGAGAGAGAGAGAGAGAGAGAGAGAGAGAGAGAGAGAGAGATTGGATTTGCAGCTCGGTTGACGTGGAATTAGGGAGAGTAGCGCAAGGAGTGGTGTTTGCGTGTTTGCGTGTTTGCGTGTTTGTCGGTTTCTGGACTCTGGCGGCTTTTGCGTGATTGGTTCTTTTCTTCGCTGCGTGCGCGCGCGCGCGCTCTCCTGGCTGTCCGGCGGGCACATCACTTCTTTGTCGCGGTACTGCCGCGGTATTCGGACGGGATACAGATAAGGAGGAGGAGGAGGAGGAGGAGGAGGGCAACACGCAGCAATGCTGTCTGGTATCATCTATACTAGACGTGGCAAGCTCTCCTAGCCGCTGCCTGTCGAAGGAGGAGGAGGAGGTGGTCGAGGAGGAGGTTGCAGGTGTCTTAATGCGGGGACCCATCTGAATCTCCACGTCGCCGATTGGGGTAGGGAGGGGTATGCAGTCAGGTGTTTCTGGCTGTGGTGTGGTTTCACACTGCCAAGCGCTCTCCAAGGTGCATTTGCCTGGAAGGAAGGCCAGATTCAGTCGACGAGTATTTGCCAGCGGTTGAGGGAGTATTATGCCCCGAGGTGGCGCAGCTCTCTCTTGAATGTCTGCATCCCGCGTTTTGACACTTGTGACATCCCTGCAACTTGGATCCCGATAAGCCCGGTCGAGGTCGCGACTGGTAGTGAATGGCCACGCCGTCGTCTCTGCTGCTCCTCCTAGCGAGATTGGGAGGGCATGATCGCGTGCACGTGCTGTGAATGCATCTGGTCCCTGTGCATAGCTGAATGCGTCGTTCTTGAAAGGATTGCCACGTCAGCGGTTTTCTCCTTGCCCCCTCTTCGTTGTGCATGTGACTGCATCTGGTCCCTGTGCATAGCTGAATGCATCTGCAGCAGTCGACGGTGTATTACGCGTTGTGGACACGTGGCTTATTTCTCTAATAACACATCGGTTCTTCCACGTGGCGTCGTTTCCCGTGAGGAGTTACTCGCTGCCTTCCCTGGCGCAGTCCACGTGGCCTCGTTTCATAATTCTTAATCTTAAATTGCTTGTTGAATTGTGCCACGTGGCGTTTTCGTGCTTTGGCCTCTGCATGTGTCTGCGCCTGCTGTGTCTTTTGGGTGCCTGTTGTGTCTGTTGAGTTTGCGCTGTCTGTGTGTGTGTGTGTGTGAGAGAGAGAGAGAGAGAGAGAGAGAGAGAGAGAGAGAGAGAGAGAGAGAGAGAGAATGTGGGCTCGGTGATCATCATTGCCGTGTCGTCTGCGCGCCTGTGTGTGTGTGTGTGTGAGAGAGAGAGAGAGAGAGAGAGAGAGAGAGAGAGAGAGAGAGAGAGGAGACAGATGTGGAGTTGGTTATAAATCTTGTCGTGTCCACGTGGCAACCGCTCTGAGGCAAAGAAGGCAGAAGTGGATATGGCGACCTTGCAACAAGTGGGAGTCGGGACAGGTGCAGTCCACGTGGCGACGTCCCAGCTGGAGTTGGTTCTCGCTGCCGCTGCCACTACTAAATCAGTGGACCCTCTTCTGTGCTTCGATCTGCTCAACAAACTTCTGGTAGCAATCGAGAATGACCCAAGAGTGAGTGCGCGATCGTTCTCCCCCCCCC